AAATAGTTTACTTTGATTTCTTTAAATTTCAATCTATGTATATAAACAGCATATTTCCAACTCTACCGCTTTTGAGGTACTTGAGCATGTCTTATATGCCAGATATGGAGGAAATCGGTGCCGGCGCATTTGCGGAGTTGCAGAGTATGCTATTAACGTACAGATTTTGAAAGTGTTAGTATTAAAATTTTCACCCATTGTAGACTTAACCACTCTAATCTTGGCGAGCAATCCGAAATTGGGCAGAATCGATGTGAGAGCATTTTCGAAGAACACAACAAACCCAGAAATATTGTCTTATCCACCAATGGAGAAGGTAAATTGCAGAGATGTTATGTAGAAAATGTGGCTGCACTCTACATTTATGAATTACACTTAAACCTGACTTAAGAACTTAGACCAAAATAGTACCCGTGTTCACAAAAGTTTTTTCACAATCCAACGTATAGTTTGCTTTGAGCATTAGTACAGCTTTTTGCTAGGTTAAAAGCAACTTTTGTTTAATGAAAAGTAATATATGTATAATGTGGCCCTCTAGAAGCTCAGATATCTTAAGTCTCAAGATAGTCTGAAAAACAGAAATTTTCAGGCAAAGCACTGTCGTATTGCAGTATTCCCCAAAACGATTTAAAGAAATAAAAATTTTTAACATTAAATCTTACAAACAGGTGGCAACTTTTTCTTTTAATATTTGCTGTTTTTATGCTAAAATTCGTTTGAAAGAAAGAAAAATAATTTTGAAGTGTAAAATTTTCAGAAATGTGCCTTGAACCTGTTTAAATGGGTATCAAATTGAAATATTTGAATTAATTAAATACAAATAATAAAATATAAATTTCATTAGATATATTGAACTAAAAACTTTTAACTGGTGGCAACTCCTTTGAAAATTATTATGAAAATTTAAATAATTTAATATATCATACAGAAATCGGTCATAATAATTTAATATATTTTTGAAAAGGTGGCAAGTGCTTAAACCCTTTCAGTTAAATAATCTGTTGCACTGCGTCTTCCTTTTCCAAATACAACTGACTTATAAATTATTAACATCTCCTAACCTTCTAAGTTTTTTAATTTTAAATCGTCTTGAGTATAATAATCACTCCAAAGAAAATGTTCAAATCGGTTTAGCACTCTATAGAGTTACAATCTCTACACGGATAAGTAGTTCGGTGAGATGTCTGAAGGTATACGCTTCCAAGTGTTTAAGTGCTGACCTCCCAAACGCGGGACAGTAAAAAAGGAAGTGTTGAGTTGTTTCCACCTCATCTTCTTTCTTATATCTCCTGCAGATGGTATCTGGTAAGACTTCCAACCTTAAAGCATGGACGCCAATAGAGCAATGGCCTCTTAAAGGCCTCACAACTAAGAAGAGAATGTCCTAACTGAGAGCAAAGAGATCACAAGATCTCTTGCGATATATTTTGGTCCTATTACTCTGTACAAAATCCAAAGATTCTGATCCAAGTTGACCTTTGGCTCCTTATTGTGAGTCTTTTATGTAATTTCTTTATGTGAGTCAGAGTCACAGACATAAACTGCTGTTAACCATTTGAAATTTAAAATAATGAATGCGCCCTTCAGTACTAAATCATAAATATTTTTACCGTTTTCAGCTGCACATTCACAATAACAACTTAACAGCTTTGGAGCATAAATTATTTGAACGTTGGGACAAAATAACCGAACTGGATTTGCGCTACAACTACTGGACCTGTGACTGCAGCAATCGTTGGCTCATTGAAGTCTTGATGGTGCAAATAAACAACACCACTCCATTGTGGACACACGATGTCAACTGCTATGTGCCGAACGCTTTACGAAGTGTACCGCTCATTCAACTTGCCACGGAGGAGAATAGTTTAAAATGTAGCGTAGTTGGTAGTAGTTCGAATGTGGGTCTCTTCTTAATCGGCCTGATTGCTGGTATTTTATTGTGCGTCCCAATATTGTTAGGGTCTGTGGCCCTCTGGCGTCGTGGTTGTTTGGGTTTGAATCGCAACAACTATGGCGCTAACCGTTCATTATACAATCGTGCCAATTTCAACGATGAATTACACATCTAAATCACGGCTTATTTTAAAGTTATTTTTTACTAGTTTTTATGTTTTGTAATATAATGTGTATCTTTATAGGAAAAGTACATACAATATACAATCGCCTGATGTCATAATATTAATACAGTTATTTTATCAGATGCTTTAATTTAAATAACATTTTTATATACTTCTTGTTCTTTAGTGGCGTAGACATCGCTTAAGCGGTTATAGCCGAGTTTACAACAGCGGCAGTTTTTCTTCTTTTTCGCTATTTGGCACCAAGTGGAGATTCCAAGTGTAGCCAGGTCCTTCTCCACCTGATCTTTCCGACGAAGTGGAGTCCTTCCTCCTCCTCTGCTTCTCTATCTATGCTCTCAGAGCTGGAGTGCTTTCGCCATTCGTATGCATGACCTAGCCAGTGTAACCTGTTGACAAGAGTTATTCTGTGTCGGATTTCGAGGCTGATATTATTTTTTATGTTAATGCGACTTCGAAGTTATGACTGTCAACAGTATCGTGGGCAGGAAGTCGATATCAATATAGTAAACGGATGCCAGCAGTTATACACTCTTTTAGAATATTGTACCTTCTCTATTCAGATCTGTAGCTCGAACTATGTTCTCCAGAAGTAATGAAGCCGCATGTTACGACGTCGCCTTGTCTGAAACCTCCCTTGGTATCGAACGGCTCAGAGAGGTCCTTGCCGATCCTGACGAAGCTTTTGGTTTGCTCAACCCCAGTTGGGGTTATCGATTGGGGAATCGGGTTCACCATCTCCTGATGTTTTGCTTTCTTCACTGTCAGTCAGCAGGTTAGAGAAGTGCTCCCTCCAAAATTTCAGTATGCTTAGCTACTAGATCAGCTCTGTGGGTTCTACAAGAGTATGCTCGGTAGAATTTTCGAGTATTACCGCTGCCGACCAGTTTGGCAAACTCTTCGTACTCATGCATTTTGGCTTCTCTCTTTTTTTGTCTCTTTTTGGTACAATTTAGCGTTGTGAGGTGCCGCTGTTTTCTCTCCGCTGAGAGCTTGAAACTCCATCACACAGTTCTCTTATACCGAACTGCTGATGAGTGCTCTGATTATTTCTGAACACAATTTCTAAAACACGAAGATTCGAAATTTGAATTAAAGGTGGATGAGATATTTAAACTCTCTTCTCAGAATTATTATTATACTAGACTTGCGGTTTGAAGAATCAAGAAAATTCCTTCCTCCATTTCGCATCTTTGGGAACTTAATGAAATTCTTCCAAATCTCAATCAGGCATTACTATAGGAGTAGATCTACTACTGTGATTTAAATTTGGCGCGAAACCCCATTTGTCGAAATACATTTTTTTTCTAGGTTAGTATTACCGCCACCGTATTATTCATTAGTATTCAGTACACTCATGTCTTTCAGAAGGACATAAAGTGTATTCGGCGATATTAACGATGAGTGAAAGTATTCAACAAAGATGTACCATTAAATTTTGTGTGTGGAATAAAATTTCTGGTGCCGAAACGTTCAGAATATTGGAAAAGGCCTTCGGTGAAAATTGATAGTCGCGAGCAAGGGTATTTGATTGGTACAAATTATTCATAGAGTGTCGAGAACACGTTGACGACCAACCACGTCCAGGAAGACTATCAACATTGAACACGTCAATAAAATAAAGGAAATGATGCTTATAAGTCCACGATTAACCGTCTTACTAGCATCGTTGGAATATCGGAGGGTTGTGGGAAAAGAATTTCGAAAGATTAGTTGATTAGTTGGTAGCAAAAGTGAGCCGAAGTTGAAAAACCACGTAAAAGCAGATCAAAAATCAAGGTCGTGTTGACAGCTTTCTTCGATTACCGATGTGTGGTGCACTCCAAATTCCTTCCGATCGGCACACTGTCAACAAGGAATACTATTTGAGTGTTATGTGTCATTTGCGTGAAAGTATTCGTAAAAAGAGGTCGGAAGTATGGGTTTCAACCAATATCGTGCCGCAACTACTGCATTCGCCTGATTTAGCTCCGAGGTGGATGACATAGACTTTGAAGAAAAAATTAAACATTTTAGATTTATAAACAAAGCCCTACTATTTTTTGCTCAAAGGGTAAGTGTGGCGTGTCAAACGGTTCGTCTAACCTAACCTAACCTACTTACATTTTTTTTTTAATAAAAAGTTCTGTGTTATTTATTTATTATATATTTATATCATTTATTATGTATGTAAGTAACTAATTCGAGGTTATTCGGCTTATACGGAATGTGTTAAGCAAAACTGTTTGAAAAATATTACTCATGTTTATGTGTATGTATATAATAAAAGTCGTTTATCTCATACATGCGACAACTACTCGTATAACAAATTTATTAGGTTTATATGCATTTGATTTAAAATATTTTCTTCATATATGTATGTGTATATATATTTTTTTTTGCTCGATTTTTTTCGTAGTAAGAAAACTAAGTACTACACGAATACATTAAAGCAAGCGATTTTTCAGTTATAAAATGACATTTCTTAAAATTTTAATGAATCGTGCAAAATATACTTACAATCTTCAAATTATTTCATACACTTGCAGGGCTTACATAATTATTTAGTTACAAAGCTACATGCTAAGTAGAACTAAGAAAGGGGCTACAAAATATGTTTATTATTACTTTTTTTTAGAATTTTTTGCATTTTTTTTTTTTTTTTTTTTTTTTTTTTTTTTATTTTTTTTTTTTTTTTTTTTTTTTTTTTTTTTTTTGGTAATTACATACATATATATGTATGAATGCATGTGTTGTGGAGAAAAATAAATAGAACCACTCTCTATTTCGCAATTTTCGTAAATATCGTAAATATTCTTGCGTTAATATTTTCACCTTTTCACTAATAAACTAACAACTTTCGTTAAATAATTAGATATATGTGTGTCTATATGTATATATGTATATATGAGTGTGGTGCGACAGACATTACTATATGTGTGGCTTCCTTGTTATTGTGTATTGTCTGCCTGCCTTAACCGTCTTCGTTTCGCCGCTTGCTTACCAAAAAATGTAAAATGGCGAGCAACAGTATAGTTCCATTCAATACAAGAGAGCATGTGTGTAGTGCACAAAGGTGATAGAAAAACGCTTGCTCTTGCGCTACTTACAGTTTATACCAGTCGCTTGCATTTATACCACTTGCTTGTTCGATTCCTCACGCTAGAAGGTTTGGCGTAGCGTAGACGGCGTATATTCATACCATCAAATAAATATATAACTGAATATGTGGTAGATTCAGGCGCGTCCGCACTAACGCACCATCAACATTGTACCTATTTGTTGTATCTCTGCTTGTATGATTTGCATTTGTTAACAGTAATATTTTATTTATATCGCTCACGTAACATATATACGCTTATCATTACCTCCTATGCTTTATGATACATATACATATAATATATAATTGTTTGTATGCATGCATATGTGTTTGTATGATTTTTTGTATCTTTCTTTCTCATATAACCGTTAATTTATTGATTTATAACTGTAGATTGGTGTGTCTACACATTTTCATTGTCTTATCTAACCTCATCCACATCCTCGCCCTCGGATGAGCTGCGTATGGTGTTGTATTGTGAATTGCGACTGCGTAACATGCGTAAGAAGCTGCCGACGGCAAAGATGGTTCTTCGATGACGATGAAATATACCCTGGTATAAGGCCTCACGTAACGTTTTGCGATCCTCCACATCGACTGAGGAGGTAAGTGATGTTTGATGTGGTAAGCGCGCTGCAAGAAATTAAACAGTGAATTTATGTATGTAGGTTAAAAGAAAGAGAGAAGAAATTTATCCAAATAGAGGTGCTTTTTTAATAGCTTTTTTTTAACAGATCACGCGTGAGTTATTTTTGTTCAGTGCTGTCTGGCATTTCACCAAGGGAAGACTTACACCTGAACAGTTTTTACAATTCGTTCAACTTTATTACGAAAATTCCCGTTTTGTAAAGAATATATTTCGCGTACTTCGCTCAACTTATGGTAAACCTAATCAGCCTACCAAGGGTACTATTCGCAGCACCATCACCCATCTAGAGATTCAGCATTCATTATTGGATAATATTCAACCGAATATACCATATCTATACCATGGCGCGCAGTGAAGAAGGCATAGCAGCCGTAGCTGAGAGTGTACCCTGATGTATAGAACGACTTGACGCATCTTACGTCAAAAACTGCAAGAACTGAAGGCTCTCGACCTTCTCAAGTGGCATCGCAAAGCTCTATGGGTTCTTGAAAAGTTCCAAGAAGAACCGACGTTTTTCTGGCTCAATGGGTTTGTAAACAAACAAAATGGCCACATTTGGGACAAAGAGCAACCTGAATCGATTCAAGAGCTGCCATTTTATCCAGAAACAACAACGGTTTTATTGTGGTTTGTGAGCCGGTGGAATGTTCGGTCATATATCTTCAAAAGTAAGAACAAACTGTCAATGGTGACCGTGATGATAACCGACTATTTGATATCTGATCTCGGTGATATTTGATTCAACACGACGAGGCCACTTCCCACACATCGCGTCATTCAATGGATTTATTGGGAGAAAACGTCAATGAACAGATAATTTCATGCTTTGGACCGGTCAATTGGCCACCAAGTGCGGATAAAAGTCTATGTGGACACTCCCGCTTGGATTCAGGCCTTTGAGGAAGATATCATGCGTATCATTCGCCAGTTGACGGATGGACTATCTGAGATGTTGCCGCGGCCAATATTTGAAAGAGATAATCTTAAAAAAATAAATGCTAAAGAATATCCTTTTGAATGAGTATGAACATTCCTCATCAAATTTGAAGTTTCTCTGTTTTTTTTTTTCTATAAAAAAGTTGCAGCACAGCAAAAAGTTTTTGACTCATAAAATTTTATAAATTATAACCATTCGGAAGAAATGTACACACTTCAATGGTGTTTATGATCAAAAGATTGTAATTTTTTTGTGAACATAAAAATTTTAGACAATATTAACTTGGGTTTACCTTTAACAATTTAGTTTATTTGAGTGGACTCTCGGTTCTTAGGCGATTGCTGGGCTTCTAATACAAGGGCTTCGGATGTTGAGACAGCCATTGGGTCCTCAGGGACTAACTACTATTTGCGAACCATTTGGATTACGCTGTTTTCAATGCACATTAAGAAGACTGTGTGGAGGTCTTTGTGGCAGGTGCAGTACTACGCTTTAGTATAACCTTTCTCAGCTAGAGCGTCATATAATGCTATGCGTGAATTTCCGTGGCGTTATTTTCAAAGAACACTACCTCTTAATACGTTAAACTTCTTAATACTTCTTATCAGACTATCAGTCAGCTGTAAGAGATCTCTTATGGTTGCGGCAAATTAGATATTGCCAACCACTTGGGATATATTAAGCGTTTGCTGGATTACTATAATAACTCGTAGTATTGCGGCAGGATTTTTGGAAATATATCAAAAGAAGCCGTTAATTCAATTCTTCAGTCTAATCAAAATCAAACTCAGAGTTGTGGTTAGGTATCTAACCAGTTATGTTCCCTTTGGCATACATGCTTTTCTGTACACTGAACAAATATGTTTATTTTTTTTAAGTTTCTGCTAACTTTTTATTAAGTGTCTTTCCTATCATAGTTGCTACTTACCAATTGGAGATTTGGGTGATTTAATCGAAAATTCGTCCAACTCCTTCCCCGTCAAATCCAATTTGAGTACTTTCTTCGTAAGCTCCTTAGTGGCCGCATCCAAGTTCGATTTTTTGGCAATCTTTATATCGACATTACGCTGACTAACCGCACTCTTCGAGACGGCGCCGGCAGTAGATTTATGTGCTTGTTTCTTCTCCGAATTTTGTATCTCGGCGGGTGATTCCAACTCCGACATTTTAGCCAGTTTCTGTTTTATTGGCGATTTCTGATTGGTTTTCAATATCTCGTCGTCCACCAAATGCGGTTTCTCCTCCTGCTCCTCTTTCTTTATTTGTAATTGTTGTTGTTGTTGCTGCTGCTGTTGTTGAATGCTCGAAGTGGTGGTGGTGGTCGTATTCGATGCAGCCGATGTTGATGAGGCGGACGATGTTGGCGATAATACGGCTATATTGATTGTTGCTGCTGAAGACGCTGTCGCTGTTGCTGTTGCTGCTGTCGATGACTTTTGACGATGTTCGATTGCAACCATTGTTTACAGCGACGACGATGCGCGAAAAACCGTTGGATAAATCAAAAGAAAATAACAACCACAATAATGTTATCGGTGGTAACGGTCTTCTGCGCCTTGACACACTTGATGTCGCACTTCAGTTGGACAATGAATGAATGACTGCTCGCACGAAAAATGTTAAGTTACGATGGCTAACGATGATATCGATCGGTTGTTGGTTCGTTAATTCTTCTACACTTCGCTTATTTATTGAGTTTCTCGAGAGATGAAGTAGTTTCTGCTGTGCTTAAGTTGCGTGAAGTGGCAGGACACTTGAGTTTGTACAAACAGTGATGGCAAGGCTGTGGGGGGAAAAAGATAAAATAATTTTGGTTATTTTTTTTATTTGTAGTAGAATAATAAAAGGTAACAAAAAAAGATAAATTGGCTGTAATTAGTTTCCATGCCTCTTAACATATTATAATCTCAGTAAAAATAAGTACTAAGCTTTCACTTTTACGCTGGAAAAGCACATGAAAGCTACCACGTAGTTGAAAAGTCAAGTTTATTTTATTCAAAATTTAAGATATGTATCTATTTTAACGCATTAAAAAATTAGCTCACAGCTAGCCCTTACTAATTCTTTTGTTAAATTCTTTTGTGAACTTTTGACACATACCTGCCATTTTTTAGCTGGCTAAAAACGGCTGATGAATATTTAATGAAGCTTTTAAGCTTTGGCAGCCTTAAATATTAGGGGTCAGAGAGGCTGCATTCAAAAAATACACACATTTTAGTTTCTGCTCATGTATATAAAATGTTTCTTGTTCTACATTCAAGAGTGGGAGCACTAAACGGCGCCTTAAAACCAGCGTCTTCTGTCTAAAGGGGTAAATCTAAGTTTTTAAAAGCTTTTTCAGCACATATTTTCTTCTTAGACGACATAAAGACTCCAAATAAGAAGAAATCTGAAAACATATCTGAAGTAACGTGCATTTATCTGTAGGTACCGGTTTGTGAAAGTGGTTACAAATCGGCTAAACTGTGTACCAACTCTAAAGTCTTCAAGTAAAGTACTCATTTTAAGACAAGTATAAAACCCGGAATGTACCGGACCTAAAAATATGTTGGAATCAATATGAAACGCCACAGTACTTGCAGGTCTACGTCACATCTTTCCAAAGGTTCAGCTCCGTATTTATAGTTTGTTAAAATATTGTCACTTGTACTACCAATAATAATTAACGCTTGAATTATATCCGCAGAGATCCCAGTAAATGTGAAATTATTTAGAAATAAGGGCAGCAAATGCCATAGACCAGTACAGAACAAACTTATTGTCAAAGCTTCTATTCGTAGGACCTTCTTACCCGAGTACAGCAGGAAACAGGTTGCCCAGTGGGGCATATTATAAATAACTGCATTTCAAAGTGAAGATATGAAGACTAAAGACCTTAGCAACATAAAAGTGACCGATTTCAAGGCTTGTCTCTATATGGCTGGGTCTTAAATATGACGATTTAAGTGATTAGAATTTTTCTGAGCCGATTTGAAGTCATTAGGCCTTTGAAATTACCTAAATTTACAATGAAGCGATATGTAGAAAGTAGTATGTTCATATCTTCGAAAAGCAAAAAAAGAATCAAACCGATGAACTCACGATCTCTTACAATCCATTATCCACAAGATTTTTGTGAATCTATCCTCAGAGCACAGAACTCAACATCTTGAAAATAATAACATAAAATTTTATATTGCTCGTCCGCATTCGTGTCTCACCTTTTACGGTGGCCTCGCCTCGCTGTTATAGTGGACTTCGTCGGGAATATCGAGACTCGAATACGATGTACCGAATTTTGTTTGCCTGAGCGTGAAACCTTTACGACGCGCCGCTGTGCGTACCTGTTGCTCTAGTTGCTTTTGCTCAGCGACTTGCGTATCGAACGCGTTGTAGGCACTAAAATTGTTGCTATTATAAACGTTGTCAAATTGAAATGCAAAAGCGTTATCGTTGCTATGGCTTGTTGCTGTCGTGTCTGTATGCGCTACCTCTACTGGCTCCGCACTACCGATAGTCGAACAGTCTGTTAATGTAATTTTCGGCAATGACGCATCAATGTCACTTATCTCTAATTGCATTAGATGATCAATTAATTCATGGAAATGCGCGCGTGCTGCCACTGTTGTTGTACTTATTGCGGTTGACGAATTGGCATTCAGATAATCGTTCATGCTACAACCATCAGGCGTACGCGCTGTAAGCGCTGCTGGCGTGGTCGGCGTAATTGACGCCGCGACGTTCTTTTGCCGCGTCGCCTTTAATGCTTTTACAGCGCACCCCACAAACGGTTTAATGTTAACGCGTATCGCGCACGGATTATGTTGCGGCGCGCTTATATCAGTGGCGCTACAGCCAACTTTGAAACTGCGCTTACGGCCAATGTGCCGCAATAAATTGGTCAAACGAAAGCAATGCTCTGCGCTACGCACGCGTGGCGTACCAACCGGCGTATTGCTGGTGCTGCTGTCGCGCGAAACTGTGCCTTCGTTGCTGCTGCTACGCGTCGTTTGTGACGTTTGTACGCACGCTGTGGCGAGTCTACGCTGTTCGCGACGCGCGGCGTTCCGCTGGCCGATTGCTTGTAGGTACTCGACGTGTCGCAACACTCTTTGCTCGTAGTATTCACAAGCTAAGCGCAAGTAGCTTTCGGTGGTACTTAAAGCCCCATCAGTGGTTACACTAAACGTTGGTACGTTTTTGTGGTAATTAACGGTATGTGGTCGCGTTTTGTGTGCGTACGTGCTAACCTTCGTAAATGCTGTAGCGCAATGCTGATTTCGTGTTACTCTGTGACCAGCACTTTCTGCACTAGCTGTGCGCGCTGTTTGTTTAGCCGCTGGCAGTTTTCGGTACCAAGTTTGTTTAATATTTGCTTCTTTACTACGTGTCACTTGCAATGCTGGTGCTTTCACTTTCCCTACGCTGTCATTTGCAACACTATTGTCAGCGTAATCATCAGCATACCCATCATTGCAATCGTACAGTTTTCCATTAGCATTAGCGCTGTCTGCATTGACGTCAGCGCCGCTATTTAGTTGCCGCTTTGATGTCTTCTCGTCTTCACCTTTACCTGTTGTGGTACACTTAAACGCTTTGCGACTACAAAACCCTTCACCTTCGGCGTTCGGGCGCTGACGATAGCGCGCGTCAATCCTTCCGTTGCAGTAATTGGTCACGCCCTGCTTGTGCCTCCACCGCAACTGTCTGTCGACCAGCAACTTAAGTTCCTTATAGCTGTGCGCCTGACGAATGCGTCGCACTGTCCCGTTGTACGTATCGTCTGGCGGCGCGCTCTCGCACAATGTCTGACGACCGCGCGGTGTTGTATAAACGGCAGTGAATCTGTAATTAGTCCAATGTGTGTTCAGGCATTAAACAACAAGTCGACCGAGGGTCCAACAATACAAATTTCTACACACTACATACAAATGCACATACATATAGGAGAAAGCAGCAAATAAGCAGAAATAAAAAGTGAGTAATAAGACAGTGGAGAGTCGAAAGTGAAAATAAAAACAGACAAAAGATCCCACAGTTTTCCGTAGCTCTATGCGTCCGTATTGTTGGATTTTTGCGGTTAACTGTACGCTGTTGCTAAGCTTTATGTTGTATAGCTTGTTGCACACAGACGTATCTACAGCTTGAGAAGGCTGTCATCCCTGACAGGTGGCTTGGCGTAAGGGCTACCTTTCTGAATAATTTATTATGACTTAATGCATGCCTGGCTGGTCACTTTGCTAACACATAGAGCACAGTGTTTCAAGTGTACCCAAAAAGTTGATAACAAACTTAAAGCTCTTGAGAGGCCACTCAAAGTAAATGAGTCTTTCAACTTCGAACTGGCGCTGGACACAATATACCGTTATTTGCTGTAAATGCGGTTTGAGAACAATAGCACGTCAAGTTATCGTTGATGTGCTGTTATTGTTGGATAATTCACAAAAAAGTAGCGTTGTTAGTCAAAAGCTCTTCAAGGTCGATGTGTGGTGTATGTAGTGTAAACTACTGAGGGAAAAAGTTTTTGAAAAGCGCTAAAATCTGCTTAAGCTAACCAAAAAACTTATAAAATCTTAGCCTACTGCATCTTAATTTTGTTATTTGATTTTTTTTGAAAGCTTTTCTGTGGAGATTTAAATACCCGGAAGGATAGGTCTAGTAAAAAGGAATCCATTATTTTGCACTGAATTGCATTGTATTTGGTTGTATTTTTTCGATTTCCATGAAATAGGCACCGTTTTGTTCCATAACATGCTGGTATTTTGAACATAATTTCATTATACCTCAATTTCATAGTTAAAAAACTGAGATAATCCATTTTCATACGATTCTCTTGAGCCAAATGTTTCAGCAGCAATATCTGTGATCATAGACTGAAACAGTTAGTAATCACTTCATGCCAGATCCCAACTATAAAGTTGTTGCTTAAAATTATCACAACCAAGCTGTCACAGCTTATCGGACATATTAACCAAAGCTTGACACTTCTACGCGATAGTTTAATTTAATCGGTCCAATTGCTGTCATTGCAGGTCACCGTAGGGTTGCAGCTCATAACACAACAGCGCAAATTTTTCCTGGCAGTTACAGTTTGCACTGGCCCACCGCGAGTCGACCACAAACTTTTTGCTTGATGTGATCCATTTTCCATCACCTCTAATCATTGCCTTCAAAACTGTATTGAGTGTTTCGCGATTTTACAACGATCGGCCTCGACGATATCCATCCTTTAATCGTTATATTCAACAATTGATCTTAAGGTTTTTTTCTATACCAATAGTATAGTACATCATTTTTGTCCTTCATTTAAAGTACGATACGATACATGGCTTGTCTTGATTGGTCTCACAAAAAAGCATCCTCCAAAAAAAGTTGCGGAATATCTTAAAGAAGTTACGAGTGATCCAAGTAGTTTGGGTGGGTCAATTGATAAACGGCAAAATATAGATACGAAAACCTAACAGCTTAATATTGAAACGAACACTCGCTTAATATGATGTTCAGATTTGGCCTCGCGCTGGCCAATGGCGGTCGATGACGAATGTTTAAACTTAGATATCCCTATCGTGCAAGCTGCAGAACTTAATCGAGCAAATACAATCTTCCATAGGAGCGTACAGCTGCTGGCGTATCATATATTATGCCGTTAGTTCTGCTTTCTCCAGACTGTACAAGGAAGCAAAGCATATGGCTCTGGCAGTGAACGAGAGCAAGACGAAATATCTCCTGTCATCAAACAAACAGTCGTCGCACTCGCGACTTGGCCCTCATGTCACTGTTGACAGTCATAACTTTGAAGTTGTA